CATCTCATAAGTCCTCTCAAAAATCCATGAAATGGGTTTTTTCTCGAGTTTCAGAGATTTCAGCGGCTACTGAGCCTAAGGATGAGCACCATTTTTGAAATGGATTTGAAATTAAAAATGCTCATAAAATTTACCTGCATTTCTCTAAACTGCCATCTTCCTTTGCTTGCTTGTATTTCTCACACGAATCGTTTACACACAGCGTTGTTAATAATATAATGATCGGGAGGAGAATGAGAGCGATGAGCACAACGAATCCTTAAATGTGATTGGTTGTGAATCATGGAGCAACAAAGAGAGGGCGCTGAAGTACAGACTATGCCACAGAGATGGAGGAGACATGGCTGTGCTTTTCACATGGAATTGGACCCGCCTGGGATATTTCCATTTGAGACAGCTATCACCCTGTCTGTGCTGAACAAAGACATGATTCGTACCTAAACCGTAACATCCCACCACAAGGCGCAGTCGCCACCCCGTGAAACGAAGTACGCGGTCACGCCCTCCCCCGAGACAGGTAATGTAATTTGAAGGGGAGGGAGAGGGGGCACGCTCTTGTGCGACTATTTTGCTCCTCAAAAACTTGAGCAGTCTGGTCGTCTGCGCTCCGACCATGACATCTGTTGAGCATAAGCTACGGAGATAGGAATGGACATAGAGGCGCTGCCATGGACCCCCACCATAGTTGCGGTACGGTAACCGGGTACCCTTCGATTGTTCGATTGCTCCCGATGTACTGCTCTCCCAGCGGTTTCCAGAGGTCCTCCCAAGAGCCATGAGGTTTCCCCCGGCTCGGACTGGCCAACTAATGGAACAGTGCAGTGGGAAGCGCTATCACATCCACGTTGCGTTCATACTTTGCGGCAGCGTCTACCAGCGTCTAGCGTTCTGAGGATCCCTGAGCGTCAGCGACTAGGAAAGTATGGATAACGATTCAGCTGCCAGCATCTGCCAGCGTGTACGGGCATCTGCCAGCACTTTGAGGGCTAGGATAGGTATCAATTTAGCGTCTGCCAGCGCCTACCAACGTTCACCAGCGTTCATCATGTCCGGAAGTAGAGAGTATGGGGAAATAAGAGGGTAGCTAACAGCTGGATCGCATCGAGTCGCATTCAGCGGCACTCCTCCCATCAACGAATGACTTCGGCGCCCGTACTGATGCTGCATTCATAGCCGGAGATCGCAACATCCGCTCCACTCGGTGATTTATAAAGAAAGGCAAGGATCTCAAATTTCTGATGGACGCCCGGTTTCTGATCCCAATAGTCCGATTCCGGAAACGACATGTGATGCCAATCAGGAGAAAAGGGTCACAACCACAGACTCCGCCCCTGTGGGAGCAGCATTACCCAAAAATAACACATTGTAGATATCCCTTGTACCTCACTTACCTTCATTTAGCTGACACTGGCACACCACACCGATACCACTGTAGATCACGTAAATGGCGAAGAAAACAGATCCAGCAACAAAAGCAAGATAAAGCTTGCCAACAAACAATTCCATGCCTACCCATTTGAGAATAGTAGCCCGAATATGAGCAACACGCGACCGCGTACCATTTCATTGCACGTTTTCATGGTTTCCTAAAAGTCAATTAAGCAGGGCTTCAACAGGTTTTTGTTTCGCAGAGAGCGCGAGTTTCGCTTTTCATATGGGTGTCTAGCTTAAGATTGTGTCTTCTTCACTAGAGCTACCTTCTTTTCCAAAAAGCAAGAACTGTGGTTGGTCGATAAAGACGTCATACAGGCAGACGCTGAGCTGCGCAATATGGCCTCTTAGCGGCCCTGTACGCTTTAATTATTTGTAGTCGAGTCCGGTGCTGTGTGGCTTTTGGCCCTACTCGCTTGCAGAAAAAACGATATGGTAGCGCGGTAAATACCATGCTAATCATCTACACATCTCATCTCTCCTGCCCCATTAAGCCCACGTTACCATCTCCATTGGAGTACTCAGAAGGAGATCCTCTAAAGTGCTATCTCCCCGATTCCATCAATGAATCTTTCATGGGAGAGCTGGCAGGGTATGCATTTAGAAATTTCTTCTCTTTGATTTTTTCTGTTTCACCAGCGCGCTACCCACATCGAGAGAACGCCCAAATACTCCCATATGGAGATGGGACTGCTACCATGCTGGTGGGGGCCAAGTTTCAATTTCTGTTTTGGTTAGTTGAATCTATTTAGTAGTTGTTCTGTAGCGACACCTCCTGCCACATTCCCGTACGAGAGGAGACCAAGAGTTTCGGGAACACTGGACGAAAGGTAGGAACTCGAAAAAATGCAACTAAGATTGGGAAGAAGGATTCGTACCGCGGATGGGGGAAAATTTAGGAGAGGCAGGGCGGGAGTGATCGTGTATTTTGCAGAAAGTGGTATGTCCCCGGATAAGGGGACACTGGTCTTGAAGGCAGTTAGCCCCAAGACGACTAGGATCAATACTCCTGACAGGATAGGATAGAAATTACTGCGAGCGTTCTGGCCAGCGCGCTGTCAATAGTTCGGTTTCCCCGAGGAAGGTGCCCTTATAAGGGCCCTATCAAGCCACAACTTTACGTCCCAAACGCCCGCCACGCCCGCCCGCCCACAAATGGACGACCGTTCCTGACGCTCGTATTCATTCATTTGCTAAGCAAATTATGAAGCGAAGGGATTGGTATGAAGCGGCCGTGATGCTGCATGCATACATGGGTACAGCCGTATCTTCGGTAGCGGTGATTGGTAAGATGCCTACGGGAAACTCGTCCGAAATCGATTTACAAGTCACTGAGAACGGAGGCTTTTTCTTCGCAGGACTTTGCCCCGCTATATAGCTCCCTACTAGCATTTTAGGCTAAGTAGGAAACCATCGTGCCAACTGCCTTTAAGTTCCTCAAAGGACACGTTGTACTTAAAGGTTGACCCGGCCTATGGAAACACCTTCACGGCATGGTCCTGCAGCGATAGCCGCGAACAGAACCTGCAATCAAGCATACCATCGCGATTGGAGGGTTCTCTATACTACCAGAACGCACCATCCCCCTCAATAGGATACCCGTCGAGAGGAGTCATCCTCTGGTCAACTATCAAAAATAATCAAATTGCCTGAACTGTGCTAGGGTTAGAGTGGGATTGCAAAAATTAGCAAAGAAATCTGCAATCAATTTTAGCTACTTACGACTCCCTCCCTGCATTAGAAATGTTCAACGACAGTCCTCCCTAGTTGGGGCGCCGCTTTTGCCGTGGCCGCAGTGATTATACTCCAGTTAGCTGCAGACTAAGGGCGTGCCAGGCAGTGTGAGTGTGCCACGGCGCCAAACCCGTTCTCTGCCAGTTGTTGAAGCGGGTATGCGACAACAATTGGTAGAAAACGAGTGACACGAACGATATGATACAGATTTGCACTCTTTAAAAACTGGTGGAGGACGGGTTTGGCAGCGGGGTGAACTCATTCTGCTTGACACGCCTCTTCGTCCGCAGCGAACTAGACTATGATATCTTCCGAGCCGCACCTCAGAAGTTATCCAACTGAATATGGAACCCGGCTATCGGGGTGAAGTTCCTGTTTTCATGAGAAACCGCGACGTGTGGCTTTCTCTAGTGACGTGTAAAATAGATTCTAACGATTAGGATTTGC